GGACGCACCGCCTGGAGATGCTGTTCAGCCCAGACAGAGATCTCTGTGTGGATGAACAACTCGTCGCGTTCAAAGGCAGGTGTAGTTTCAGGCAGTACATGCCAAAGAAGCCGGCCAAATATGGTATCAAGATTTGGGCAGCCTGTGATGTCAAAACATCCTACGCATGGAGACTGCAGGTGTACACGGGCAAAGCAGCTCCAGATCGTGTTGAAGTCAACCAGGGGATGAGGGTGGTCCTGGACTTGACAGAGGGGCTCCAGGGACACGTCGTCACCTGTGATAATTTTTTCACTTCCTGTGCACTGGCAGATGAGCTACTCAAGAGGAAAATGGCCCTGGTTGGCACAATTCGCCAAAACAAGCCTGAGCTTCCACCTCATTTGCTCCAGGCAAAAAAGAGAGAGATCTTCTCCTCCATCTTCGCTTTTACAAACACCCACACACTTGTGTCTTACATCCCCCGACGGGGCAAGAATGTGCTGCTACTAAGCACAAAACACCGCTGCCCAGACGTGAGCAAAGAAGGGAAGAGAAAGCCTGTAATAATCGAAGATTACAACAAATGCAAAGGAGGTGTCGACAACCTTGATATGGTAGGTGTCATTACGAACCAGTTATGCATATATTTATTCATTCTTGCTCATATTCATGTCTAATATATATGTATGTTTTATGCTTCTTTTTTTTGTTAGGTTGTTGGCACCTACTCCTGCAGGAGGAGAACAAATTACTGGCCACTGGCCCTCTTCCACAACGTCCTTGATGTTTCACTTTACAATGCCTACGTCCTGTGGACATCAATCGAGTCATCCTGGCCGAAGCAGAAAGGACACAGACGGAGGGTCTTCATTGAAGAAGTGGGAGAAATGCTGGTGAACCCACACATAGCAAAGAGAGAGCGCCTTCCTCGCTCATCAGCCGCTGCAGCAGTAGTCACAAATCTGACTGCAGCGGCTTCATGGACCGCTCCCATCATTCAATGTAAGAGCAGGAGGCAGTGCGAACTTTGCAAAGAAAAAAGGAGAAGAGTTGTCAACGCCTGCTGCAAATGTGAGAAGCATACATGCAAGGACCACAGTGTGTCCATTTGTAACGACTGCGCCGTCTGAGCAGGACTCTCACACCCAGACACATACTACCTCTCTCCCTGTCTGTCTCTCTCCCCATCCCCAACAACATAAATGTTCATGTTTATCTTTCTAAAATAAATGTTTTTCTAGTTCAAACTGAGCTTGTAATTTTATTTACGTTAGCAAGGTAATAAACATTTAGTGTGGAAAAAGTGAAAAACATCATATACCATTATAGGTTATGATTATTACATTTACTGTGCCCCTGCAAAAAAAATAATGATGAATCAAAATCAACCTTGGTGCCAATCTAAAGGCCTAATTATAATAGCAGTGAAATCTTTCTCGAAATGTATTTTATGGAAAAAATTTTATTTTTTAAAAATAAAGGTTAAAAAATGCCAAACACGCTACGGAGAAGCAAGACAGTCATAAGAGTTAGTTGTCAATACCGGCCACCAGAAGCTGTTTTTGATACGGGCGGTTGCCCGGGGCGGCATCGTGGTGAGGGGCGGCATCACCGGCACCGGCACAAAAAAATGCTCGCACTCATGCTGCCCCAACGTCATGCCAGCGCATAGCGGGGATGTCACAGGCACCGATCGGTTTTCTATCGCCCATTTGCTGGGAGTAAGGGCGCCCTCCGTTTGCGAGGTGCGCCTGCTGCTTGCGGCTCAGGGAGGAGAGGGCGGGGCGGCGGGGGATTCTCTGACCGGCTGGGGCAGCGTCTAATAACCAACTCGCAAAATAAAAGAAAATAAATACAAACACGAAAACACCAGACATCATGATACAGACTTATAATTTGCACCGATGTCTTTTTCGAAATTCTATACCCGAAAAGTGAGCGCGAGAGCCCTCGGTGCGCATGCTCGCTGCTGAAGTCAAAGTAAACTTTATTGTCATCTCCGCTACATGCAGTCCAGGATATAGAGAGACGAGACGACGAGGCTCCAGTTACAGCAGTGCAAGTAAACCAACAGTATATATAAGAGGAGTAAGAAAATAAATATACACTTTAGGACTCGGGGTAAAGGATCAATAACAATTTAAAATTTATATTTATTTGATGATTTAAAGTCTCACACACAACCCGTCGAAAGGGGAGGAAGACCTGCTGCTTCCAAGTAGAGCACATTTCATTCATAATGTTGTAAATCCAAGCCCATTATGTATTCATGATTTGAATCCTGGGTTGTGTGAAATCCCAGGAATAAACAAAGTGAATCTGTGAACTAAGGTGTAGGTCTGTTAGATCATGTTGTGGTGATCCTCGAGTTGGGGGATGATTGTTCATACTGGAGTGCAAAATTAAAACCAAGATGGACAAGAAAAGTTCAAAGCCATCAGGTGCTCAGTTTAGAAAAAAGAGAAAAGAAGACGAGGAGAAGCGAGCAACAGATGCAGGTAAGCAGATGTGTGATTGGATGATGGCAGGTCATCCTGAAACAATCAGAATCAGAATACTTTATTAATCCCTAAGGAAATAATGTGGGTTACAGTTGCTCCAAGAAGAAATGGTAAAAATAGCAACAGTAACAGACTAAACTCCAAACATTATGTTACAGATTTTAATATTAATTAGTCATTGTCAGTTGTTGATTTGTCCTGTTCTCATTGTATGACAAATTATGATGGCTGTTTGGTATTCGTTTGAATACCATGCATACTCTCTCTCTCTTCATATGTGTGTGTGTGTTTCTCTGGTGAAATGGTATGGTTCCGACAACAGTTTTGTGTTAATGTACAATCCTTAATATGTTTTGTGTGTGTGTGTGTGTGTGTGTGTGTGTGTGTGTGTGTGTGTGGTGGTGGTGGGGGTTCTGGGAGGAGGAGTTGGCCGTTCAATTGGGGTCTGTAGCGTGGGGCCTCCCTGCTGCTGCCGAGTCGGGGCGGTCTGCTTCTCTCCACCCCAGGGAAAAGGGTAACACTACCTCGGTCTGGGTGCAGTTTCCCCTCCAGGGGCAAAGGTACCTAGACCTGGGGTATAGAGTATGCTTGGGGAGTGTGATTGTGTGTACAGTGTCTATTTTTGTCTGTCTCTACATGTTGAGTAAGTGCATATGAGAGCATGAGGGTGGGAGTGGATGTTTGTGTCTGTGTGTGCCTGTTTGTCTATGTCAATATGTCAGGTTGGGTATCAGACGCCACCTCTCTGGGGACATCTCAGGCCCTCCAAGGTATGGAGGCCTATCTCCCCCCACCACTCCCCTTGCCAGTGGCAGATGCCCTCAGACATCGGTGCATTGGTGGTTCTTAAGTGTCCAGGGATGGGCGTTCAGGTATGCACCGGCTCAGTCCTAATGGCTGCTTGCCGGGGCGTGGAGCCTGGGGCTCCCTTTGGGGCCCGGTCCACTCTGGCACAGCTGGCTGCCGGCAGAGCTCACGGGCGCGTCACTGCAACTCCCTCTGGCTTCTGCTCCGCGGCTGCTGAGTGACCCCTCATCTGGGGCTCTCCTCAGCTCTTTCTGAGAGAGTGGCACGGTTGCCCCTCTGTTGGTCTTCCTTGGTCTCTTGTGCTCCGAGGGACTCTGGATGTCTGGAACTGAACTCCTCCATACCTGCTTCATGCCCTGGAGGACGGGCATGGCTCCCACACCTCTAGCAGATCATCACAGGTGCTCACTGACACAAACTACACCTTTTTTGGCTGCTAACTCAAAACACACTGTGCACTGTCGATCTTATGTGCTGCACAATAATTCATATTTAGTATTACTGTTATATTTACATAGATCATCGCAATGATGTTGTTTATTATATTGCTCTCTTGTTGTTCTCTTTTTTGTTCTCAACAGGGTGATCCAGGTGATTGATATTGTATTTTTGTCTGTTGTTTGTTTTTGTTTTTTGCCTTTGTTCCTCTTCCCTGCTGTTTTTTTCCCTACCTCTCTTTCTTTCCCCCCAGTCATGTTTGTCCGGTGTAGCAAGTGAAAATAAAATAAACAATAAAGACAAGGTCAATCGAATGGACCAATAAGTAATGATCAATTTGGTAAGTAAATCCGTTGGGCATCTTTCTTGGCCTTTAGACAATAATTCTGATGGCAAAAGAACAAAAAGGAAAAAGAAAAAAAAAGAAAAACTCATGCCCTGTATAAACTGGAAGTATTTGTAATGACCAATGTGGTGCAACTGCTGTGGTTCCAAAGAAAAGGCCAGTTGTCTTGCCTTTGGTTTCCATGACCACTGATGTCAGAAACTTTTCAAATTGTATCATTTATTTAGAGTTTATTATTTGATTTTCTGGTTTCAGGTATTAGTGAAGACAGTATACATCATGGTTATTTTGTGATGTATGACAAAATACCCCATTACAGTCTAAATGGACAGTAAAGCAGCGTATGCTTTCAGCTTGATCTTCAGGTTGCTGCTATATAACTGTAGCAAGTCATACAATCACTTGATCAATTTCTCAGGAAGATCCCTCTCTGGCTCACAGCCAATGGGTGAGTATTGATCAAGTGTGCAACCATTCCTCCCTCAAAGTGGTTTATGCAGTTGATTAATGGTGTCAATTTGGGTTAAATAGTATTAAATGCCTTTTGTTTTTACTTTAATCAATGCATAAAATCTTGGTCTCGTCTCGACTTTGTCTTGGTCTTGACTCGGTCTGTCTTGGTATTGTCTTGGTCCTGGTTTAGGCGGTCTTGACTACAAGTCTACCTTATAGTAACATATATTTTTTAAACCTGGCAACGAGGCTTTATAAATAACAACGTGGCCCAACACGTTCGCACACCCAAAGCGTAACATTTTACGCTAGGTGACAAATCGTCACCATATTACGTTTTCGGCTACCCACCACGTGCCTAAATGACGACCTCGGAAAAAACAGGAAATATGAGAACCGTCTGGACTGAATCTACACATGTTCGCTCTTTTTCTTCAAATCGCTTAGAAACACGCTATTTAACATCATTAAAGTCCTGGTTACGGTCAGGAATAAGGTTATGGTCAGGGCTAGGGATAAGGTTAGGTTTAGGGCTGGAATACAGGGCTGGAACGTCTATTACCGCGGGAGCGTCATTGCACTGGATTCCAGCCATAACCCGCCGCGTACCATAAGAACGCCGAAGGTCTCCTTTCGCGTTCCTCAGGAACGCCGCGGGACGTGACAAAAGGTCGACATGTTACGCCTCGGGAGTGAGAACGGCTGCGTGGCCCCCACATGTGACAAATAGCCATAGACTAAGCAATAGGTATATCATTGCTCAACGTCCTCCATTGTTGTGGTGTTCACAACAAATGACATCACAGGACTTTTGGCCAGTTCGTGGACGAGTTGAAAATTCCGACTTCAACTGGAAAACACTACATGATTTAAAGGAGACAGAATTTAGAAAGAAAAGATGGGCAAGAGTACTTCAATTAGATCTTCTGAATGTTGGTTTTCATTTAATATCGATTAAGTGCCCATGGCTGATGTCACGATGACTACGTCCATCGTTTATATACAGTCTGTAATCACTTGCCTACAGATGAGAACTTGTAACAAGGATTAAGTAAGTAAGTAAGTAAAACTTTATTTATATAGCACCTTTCAAGATAAAAATCACAAAGTGCTTCACAGAGGCTAAAACCTAAAAATAAAAATCAACTAAAAGCAAGTTTAAAAAGATGGGTTTTTAGCTGTTTTTTAAAAGCGACCACTGAGTCCACAGATCTCAGGCTCAAAGGGAGAGAGTTCCACAATCTGGGGCCACAGTTCCAAAAGCTTTGTCGCCTTTTGTTTTCAGCCTCGTGTGCTGGACAGCAAGCAAGCCCTGGTCACATGACCTCAGGGACCTGCTGGGAATGTATGGATGCAAAAGTTCACTTATATATGTTGGTGCTTGTCCATGCAGGGCCCTGAAAGTCAAGGTCAAAACCTTAAACTGGATCCTGAATTTAACGGGGAGCCAGTGCAGCTGAATCAGCAGGGGTGTGACATGGGAAAACTTGGAGGACTTGGTCAGAAGCTTTGCAGCAGCATTCTGAACAACTTGCAGACGATCCAAAGAGACTTTACATAAACAAGTAAACAAAGAATTACAGTAGTCCAGACGAGATGAAACAAATACATGAATGACAATTTCTAATTCGGAGCGCGATACAATGGGACTCAGCTTAGCAATGTTTCTCAAATGATAAAAACAGGAGCGAACCAAAGATTTTACATGGGCATCCAAAGTCAGAGCTGAGTCAATACTAACACCAAGGCTCCTGATAGATGGTTTTGCAAATGTAGCAAGTGGACCCAAGTTTTCCATAACACTAGGTAGTTAGTTAATTAAATAGTGCTGTTTCAAAGTGACCATCCAAATGATCCTAATGACCTGCACATCAGGGTTGGTATCCAGTGAGGTCGAAGTAAAACATGTCCCAAGTACTACAGAAGGCATTTTTTACATAGCTGCTGCAGTGGACCTGATCAGAGGCCCACTGATAAGACCTGCCACTAGCTGTCAATCACCATATAGCATAAACCGTTTTGTGTTGTCGTTGAACCTTGAAGTCCAGCCAAGACACCCTGAGGAACTGGATGTGTAACAATGGTACACATATTTTCGATATTTTCGCCATCAATCACGACCAGTCTCTCCCTGGTCATTGGATGTGCTTTTGGCAGACTGAAAACATGGTTTGGAGTATTGTGGACATTAATCTGAATGACCTTCCCCTTATCATTTATGCCAGATTTGTCCTCCACAACTACTGTGAGGCTAACAGGGACATGATAGATTACAGTCACTGAAGTAATTCAGCAGGAAAAGGACAACCACCCAGACACACAGACTTACTACAGAGCTGATTGCATGACATCAGAAAGGAGGAGGGTCAGGAGAGTCCTTACTAAATTCCCCATCGATAAAAAAGGGTTTCTGTTCTATTGAAGGACTGTGTCATATCTACAGAAATTGTAAGTCAGGATATGTGACACTTTACAATCTATGCACTGTGATCCTGAACATGCATCGGTGTAACTTTGTGCTGAACATTGGGGGGGGGGGGGTTAAGATCTCTGTCTAAATAAATAAATCTGGGTAAATTCCCAGATGATAAAACATGCAACTATTTTGCTGGTAATAACTGAAACGAGTAAAGAAAATCAACAGCCTATTTATGTAAGATAAGATAATTTTATTGAAGGGGTTATATTGGTTGGGTCTGATTATTTGGAGGGGTGGGTAGGGTGTGCTGCTTGGCAGCTCAGTTATGGTACTGTTGGGTGGAAATGAGCCAGGTACAGCGTGTGGTGGTGGTGCACATGCATAGATGTGCCCACCATGGTGTGGTGGCAGGTTGAAAGGTTGTGGTGGTGGATGCATGACTTGTCTTAGCAGTAAAAATCCATCTGCAACTGAACTTGTCTCTCAAGAGTGACTTATAATTTACTGTGATGTTCAGAAGCTCGCCTCTCAGATGTCTCCATCATATCCAGAATTCTTTTCTTCATCTGTATGTCCACCTCTGCAACATTACGCAAATGTGTTTCAGTTGAAAGTCTTCTTTCAAGTCTGTCCTGTCTGTGGCCCTTGAGTTTTGCCTTGACAAAAGGTAGAATAAAACAATGAAAAACTAATTAACCACAATAAATGTTAAAAATAAATCAGTGGTGGAATACCAAGATTAATATTTACTTAAGTGCTACACTTAAATATTTTAGGTTAAGTGTTCTCTTTTCCTATACTTTTAACTCTACAACATTCTTGAGGTAGGGATTCAACACCAACACAGTTACACTGCAGATTCAGATGAATATAAATCTGTCATTATGATGACTTCGTGTAGGTTAAGCTACACAGTAGTTAAAGAAATGAAGCCGAGCTGTATCATTACTAGGTCAAACCTAAAGGTGCTAAAGGCATCTATAATTGGGCTACTGAAATACAGTAGGGCATTCGTTTATACATGTATGGTAGGCTAACCTTATTTCCCCTGACAAGTCTCCCAGTCCACGTTTTCTTGTTTTGTTTTTTTTGCTGTTTCATATTCCAGTGTGATATTGAGGAATAATTCCACCTCACTGTCTGTCACATACGACTCGGTTCTGCTTCTATGCGATGTCTTATCGGATTTTGTGCTTTTTTACCTAAATGTGCTATTTGGCTATACTGACTCTAGTAGGAAAGACTCGAATGCTTTTTAGTTCTCAAGTAAGAAGCCAAACTTTTTATATTTGTTGTTATTGTTCTTAAGAAATAAAGTTGGAAGTAAAAAAAAGTTCCACCGTCTTTGTTGATGCTTTCCCGCCCTGGCTTCAAGACTTCCGATTGGCCAACATTTCTGCAAGGTTAGGATTATATCGCCACCTGTTGCTTTGGCGTGCTCATTACAGCGTTTGCCTTTGTTTTTGTTTTGTTGGAGGGGGGTTACGCGTGGACTGAGATATTTTTCTCAAAACTTCACGTGTGGACGGGATTTTTTTAAAACGGAAACGGAAAATCTCTGTTTTCAAAAATACCCGTGTACGTGTGGACGTAGCCTAAACAGTAGAGATGTTTGTAGCTTTACGTTAGCTGGACTGACCGGAAGCAGGGTCCATGCGTCACGACTAACCGGATAGAGTTTTGAATCGGTTTAGTCCTGCACGTGCTGGCAAAAGGGAAGGCAAGAGAAACGATCTCCTGGCCGCATAAGGAAATCTATTTAAATATCCGTGATATCCAGTCATCATGAACTCTGAGTACGAGGATAGCTCCGCGTTATCCCCCGTGGAATCTGGGGACGAGGAGGAAGAGGAGGAGGTATCGGAGGCAGAAACAGAGCAGCTGGGGTCCAGTTCCGACTCGGATGAAGATGAAAGCGAAGAGAAAATTGATGAAGCAGCAGCGGCCGGAGATGAAAACGGAGAGAAAATTGATGAAGCAGCATGGACGTCAAAAAATGGAAAATATCTTGGTCTCCCACAAACGCTGAGACGTTCCGCTACATCCCAGCAGCCACTGGTCTGACCCCGGGACCTACACGCTATGCCACTCTCCGAATCGTTGACCCCATATCCAGCTTCGCGCTGTTTCTAACGGATGAGATCGTGAAGCATATTGTGTCCATGACAAACCTGCATGGGAATCGCAAAATTCCCGGCTGGCGAGATATAGACGCAGAGGAGTTTCGGGCTTATGTGGGGCTGCTCGTTTTGTCCGGTGTTTACAGGTCAAAACACGAATCCACGTTGAGCCTCTGGAGTGAAAAATGGGGACTGAGCATTTTCCGGGCTACGATGTCCGAGAAAAGGTTTCACCACATCAGCAGAGCACTGCGGTTCGATGATAAGCTATCCCGCCCCCCACGCCGTGTTGACAAGATGACTCCCTTCCGCAAAGTCTGGAATATGTGGACGCACCGCCTGGAGATGCTGTTCAGCCCAGACAGAGATCTCTGTGTGGATGAACAACTCGTCGCGTTCAAAGGCAGGTGTAGCTTCAGGCAGTACATGCCAAAGAAGCCGGCCAAATATGGTATCAAGATTTGGGCAGCCTGTGATGTCAAAACATCCTACGCATGGAGACTGCAGGTGTACACGGGCAAAGCAGCTCCAGATCGTGTTGAAGTTAACCAGGGGATGAGGGTGGTCCTGGACATGACAGAGGGGCTCCAGGGACACGTCGTCACCTGTGATAATTTTTTCACTTCCTGTGCACTGGCAGATGAGCTACTCAAGAGGAAAATGGCCCTGGTTGGCACAATTCGCCAAAACAAGCCTGAGCTTCCACCTCATTTGCTCCAGGCAAAAAAGAGAGAGATCTTCTCCTCCATCTTCGCTTTTACAAACACCCACACACTTGTGTCTTACATCCCCCGACGGGGCAAGAATGTGCTGCTACTAAGCACAAAACACCGCCGCCCAGACGTGAGCAAAGAAGGGAAGAGAAAGCCTGTAATAATCGAAGATTACAACAAATGCAAAGGAGGTGTCGACAACCTTGATATGGTAGGTGTCATTACGAACCAGTTATGCATATATTTATTCATTCTTGCTCATATTCATGTCTAATATATATGTATGTTTTATGCTTCTTTTTTTGTTAGGTTGTTGGCACCTACTCCTGCAGGAGGAAAACAAATTATTGGCCACTGGCCCTCTTCCACAACGTCCTTGATGTTTCACTTTACAATGCCTACGTCCTGTGGATATCAATCGAGTCATCCTGGCAGAAGCGGAAAGGACACAGACGGAGGGTCTTCATTGAAGAAGTGGGAGAAATGCTGGTGAACCCACACATAGCAAAGAGAGGGCGCCTTCCTCGCTCATCAGCCGCTGCAGCAGTAGTCACAAATCTGACTACTGCTGCAGCGGCTACAGGCCACTCTCCCATCATTAAATGTAAGAGCAGGAGGCAGTGCGAACTTTGCAAAGAGAAAAGGAGAAGAGTTGTCAACACCTGCTGCAAATGTGAGAAGTATACATGCAAGGACCACAGTGTGACCATTTGTAACAACTGCCCCATCTGAGCAGTAGTGATGTGCGGATCGATCCTGAAATATCGATTCCTCCGATACCAATCGTTTATGTTCTAGAATCGATTCTCATATTAAAATATCAATATTTTAGTAATTTAGGGTAAAAATATTATCATTAACAGGAACACAGAGGAAAGAAACTATATCATTCGGATTGTCTACATTCGAAGGAACTACTTCCTCTTCCGCCTTTCATAGTCATGTGCGAAATGCGGCTGTATAAATGTCTTGCTGCCCCTTGGCGCGCGCACTCACAACACTGGCTGAGCGTAATTGGAATCATGTGCGGGCGTATTTTACATCAACAAACAGCCGAGGCGTGGTTTGCGATACATGTGTCAAAAAAGGGAGGTGTTGTGGTCATACTTGCCAACCTTGAGACCTCAGAATTAGGGAGACATTCAAAAAGGGGGGGGGATAAATAAATTACAGTGTTTATTTATCGGATAAAATATGTTAAATATCACCATTCTAATGGGCCGGCCCGGAAACAGCAGGGGTCCAAATTCAGAGGCTGCTTCCACCTGAGGACCCGGCCTTCGTGGTCTAAAGAAGGCCAGGTAGTGCGTCACGAGCTCCCTCGGTAGAGTGAAACTCTGCCGTCTGCTCCTTGCTATCTAAAATATAACCGGGCGCTGGTGTAAACCCTCGACCGTCTCACACTTCTATTTAATCATTTCCTGTTTGACGTTTATTCAGCTGTGTGAAAACCCCGGAGGAACCCTCCCGAGGGATTAATAAAGTTAAATTTAATTTAATCTAATAACTTTAATCTCAGCCAACCCGATTTACTCCCGAACAAATAAAACACTGAAAAAGCCAAACAATAACATTTTTAATTATCAAAGTGACTTATACATCATGTTTAACCCGAGTAGCGAAAGACCGCGGGGGTTTGAAGACGATGTGTCGGCTCAGATATTTGAAGTTCACACAGCTACATTCTCACCTGAAATATGTTAAAAGTTTTTTTGCGACCAGAAAGAGAAATAAGAGTAATATTAAAACTAAGTATCTGGAAACTGGAATTGGCTGGGCCCTATGAATTCTGCGATATGGTTTTTCAATTTTGTTGTCCGGGTGTAAAATCGGGAGAAATTCGGGAGAATGGTGGCTCCGGGGCACTGAAATTCGGGATTCTCCTGGAAAAATCGGGAGGGTTGGCATGAATGGTTGTGGCAACATCACTAACCTTGTCAAACAGCTCAGAGTAAATCATATCACAGAATATGACGAGCATATGTTGAGGCGAACTGAAGAGGACAGGGACAGGTGCTCTCACTGAGTCCTTTAGTGCTACAGGCTGGCAAGGTGCTCAAATAGTTCAAATAACTTCAGATTTTTTATTTCTATGTGATGAATTCTGCATTATTAAGTGATAAGAACAAGTATCTGATGTCCTGTAATCATTATGACGCTATAATTTGAGATACAATAAAAGATACAATAAATAAAATAAATTTTTGTACAAAGTATCGGTATCGGATCAGTATCGTTGATATTAGTTGGTATCAGATCGGAAAGGGAAATCAGTGGTATCGCACATCACTACTGAGCAGGACTCTCACACCCAGACACATACTACCTCTCTCCCTGTCTGTTATCAGATTATTCTGTTATTATGTGTTACCTTATATATGTAATCAAAGTAGTTGAATTAGAATACTGCTGTAGATCACATTATACCCTTTAATATAGAGTGTGTGATCTGTATGTAGTTTAGTTCTCATTATACTTTTGAGTTAAAAGAACATTCACTTATTAGTTTATTAGATAAATGTGCATCACTCTGTATCCTTGATCTGCTGTGAATGTATTACACTGTTTTCTTGACATGCTTAATTGTTGAATCATAAAAAGAAGGTTGTAAGCAGGAGACTCTGTGTCTAAGATAGGGGAGATAGACCACATTCCACACCCCCACCTTACAGAGAGCAGAGAAACAACTGCCGAGGTCATAACTTAGGCGCCGTAAGAGAGGAAGAATGTTAATGTTTGGGCTTGCATTTTGAGATTGCTGTGACCCTCTTCAGGCATGTCTCCCCATCATGATGGTTCTAAATGCTCTTTGTGTTGAATTGTATGGAAATAAATGATTGTTGATTGAGCATATATACACCGAGTATTGTCCTTCCTTCAGCCCAAAGATTCAAAGAATTGGGAGATTTCAACACTGTCTCTCTCCCCATCCCCAACAACATAAATGTTCATGTTTATCTTTCTAAAATAAATGTTTTTCTAGTTCAAACTGAGCTTGTATTTTTATTTACGTTAGCAAGGTAATAAACATTTAGTGTGGAAAAAGTGAAAAACATCATATACCATTATAGGTTATGATTATTACATTTACTGTGCCCCTGCAAAAAAACATAATGATGAATCAAAATCTACCTTGGTGCCAATCTAAAGGCCTAATTATAATAGCAGTGAAATCTTTCTCGAAATGTATTTTATGGAAAAAATTTTAGTTTTTTGGGTGTTTTCCAGTTAAAAAACAGTGCAGCTATGTAAACATACTGGCCTTCAAAGGGTTAAACCCCCCAAAATATAATTATACTTGATACGAATATCTTAGGCAGAAGTAGTTTTAAAAGACTGACTCATTTAAAGTGCAAAACAATATTAATATATAACAGTATTACTGCATTTTTTGGGAAGCTGCCAGTTTTTGTCATTAGGAACAATTACTTTAGGATATTTAAGGATCTCCTTTGGGTTAAAGGGGACATGCAATGCTACACGTAACTGACATAGACGTAACACCGTGTGTGGAGCTGGATTTAAGAAATAAGTGCTTAAAGTTTTAAAAACATGTTTACTGCCATTTTCTGTCAGTGGCGACCGTATCGATAACGTATTGATCCAATATCAGCACTTCATGTTGCAGGATCAATTCCCATATGAAAATATCAATATCTAATTTGATTACATTTGTTTTTAATCATAAATACGACGTACAGACAAAATTAAACTCAGTAGTATGTTTTGTCTGTCCACATTCACTCCGACCCACATACTGAATACATAAAAGTTGTGAGCATACTGCATGCCTCGACTGTACATTTAGTTCAGTTAGCTGTAAGGCTCAGATGAGCACAGAGCTTTTAGATATAACATTCCTACTGCTTCAGTACTATATTCGGCCACAGCGTTCACCTGGGTAGCCTGCATGTCTGTTTTCTATAGTTCTATAATATGACAACCTGCCCAAGTATCTTTATCTCTAGTTTGCTGGCATATTTTTTTTATTCATTAAATCAGGAAAAAAAAGGTTTTCATTACATTACAACAGCATTCTCATCCTTCTGGCGGACAAGGCTAGGTGCACAGTTTTGCTAAACCAAAAAGACTATGATAAGAAAATTTTGTCACTGCTCAGTGACAAAATTATTTATGAGGCCCTGAAACAAGACCCAGGAAGTGGCTACAGGAAGAGGGTGATAGATGTCTGAAGCAGTTATAACAGGACAATGCTATTAACCAGACCTCATACCACAGGATATTCTCATTACTCTGGACGTCCTAAGTTCACACGGGAGTCCAGGCTTCCCGAGAACGCAGCACGATCGTTCTACAATTGCAATGGCAGTGTACTTGATGACATCACAGCTCTATCCCCTCTTAATTTAACTGTGATTACTATTTGCAATGAAAATTACACATGACATAAAAAGTACACATGATGTAGTAGATTTATTTAAGAAAAAAGTAGTTGTAAAAAGCATGACAATATACAAGTAATCCAAAGTATTCAGAAAACGTTACTCTCATTGAGTAACTAACGGAATACGTTATAAAATATACTTTGGGCCATGTATTCTGTGATCTGTAGTGGAATACATTTTAAAAGTAACCTTCCCAACACTGTAGCGTTGTCCTGTTAAAAAAAATCCAGTCGTTACCACACAGATGAGGAGCCTCAGTCATAACAGATGCTCTCTGCAACATCTGGACACAGCCAGCAGCTGTTTGACGCCCCTGCAACTCCTTAAGCTCCATTGTTCCACTGAAGGAAAAAGCACCCCAGACCATTATGGCGCCCCCTCCACTGTGGAGCATAGAAAACATCTACTTGTCATGCCAGTAACGTTGGAAACCATCAGGACCATCAAGGTTACATTTTTTCTCATCAGAGAATAAAACTTTCTTTCTCTCTTGCAAAGTCCAAACGGTCAGTTCTGTGGAGTTCAAGGAGACGAGGCCTTTGAAGACGACAAGGCTTCAGTCGGCACCAGTAACGGCCTTAATTTAGGTGGAGGATCATCCAGTGTCTTGATAAACAGCCAACTGGATCCTCTGGCTCAGTGCTGGTGAAAATTTTTTTGGTCTTTCACTTGACTTGTTCCATAACCCCCAGGATCATTTAAGAAATGCCAAATGACTGTCTTACTGCGTCCCACCTCAGCAGTGATGGCGTGCTGCGAGACACCCCGCTTATGCATTTCAACAACCTGACCACAGTGTGACTACCTGACAGAAAATGACAGCGAATCCACACTTTTGCACAGATTTGGCCTTTTAAAGGCACGTGGTCCTAAACTTTTGCTCAGCTGTGAAACAGCCTGTCTCAGTTTAAGAGTTGTTCTCAATAAATGTTTTGTCTCACTCCCATTTCTTCTTGTTGCATGTTGTTAAGATCCATCCATGGAAAATATGATTTTTCTTTTTGCCATTTTTCAAGTGATCTTAAACTTTTGATCGGGACTGTAGTCAGTTCTGTCTGCCTAAGTTTTTCTGTCAGTATTTCATCTCTGTCTTCATGTGTGTTGTGAGTCTTCTTATGGTCGTGTTTGATATGTTCCTGTAGGCTGTTCCGTCATCGTTCTTTATGTTTCAGTGTTAATGTTTGTATCAGTCCTAAGTTTTACTTTCCATCCTGATTTCCTGATTGCTCTCTGCTGTTTACTCATCTGATTTCTATTAGCTCTTGATATTTTTTAAAACGAAAGGTTAAAAAAATGCCACCAGAAGCTGTTTTTGATACGGGCGACACGGCCGTTGCCCGGGGCGGCATCGTGGTGAGGGGCAGCATCACGGGCACCGGCCAAAAAAAAAAAAAGCTCGTTCTC